AGGCCTGAATGCTGACCAGATTTTTATTTCACTTCAATCACCTAGAGTTTTGACCAACTACTATATGAGTTTGTAACGCGTTACTGCAGCTTGATCGTACTCACACTGGCTGCTCAGTCAGGACTTCTCATCCCATTCAAAACCTACCTGTATTAGAGATGGGGAGCATCATATCGAATCCCATGGCGTTCCAAATTTCCATTTTACCTTCCATCCTCACCGAGTATCAACACTAGTCTGCCAAACCACAACTATCTCAGATAGTCAAATGATAATGAATATGATGCTATCCCTCTCTAATTCAGTTAGATTTGGATTGGGATGAGAAGTCCTGACTAGGCAATCGGTATGAATACGATCAAGCGGTAGTAAGGCGTCACGAATTCATATGGTAGTCGGGCAAAACTCTAGGTGATTGAAGTGAAAAATTTAGTCAGTAGCTGGACCTCGTAACTCAGTTGGTAGAGCATCAGGCTGGAAACACGGTGGTCACTGGTTCGAACCCGGCCGCGGTTCAAGTTTTCATTCAACCTTCAATCACATTACTTATATTTGACACTGATAGCTTGTTGTGAACAAACTGAAAATCTAATGCGTAGTGAAAGATTTAAAACATATAAAATGAAGCCGATCCATCCCATATTGCTTGTTGTTTCTATTTCGCTAAAAGGGATGGGTTGTTTTCTTATTCTAGACTGTAATATGACACAGTGAGTGAGTGAACGAATTATTCATATTTGACAAATCCCTGATTTTCTATGAATCTCTATTCATTCTCTTCTATATCTGCCAATGGTTTTAAAATCATCAGCATTGTTGACACAACACTTAAGTAGCATGTTACATCTACACAACCTGCATAATGGTGATGGACTTACGCATTAGATCTTAGTCGATTATTGATCATGTGTGAGTAGGATAATTTCTAAACACGTAGACCATGTAAATAAACATGACCAAGATGAAATCCGTAGGATAATTAGCGGTGTTTTTTCAGAGAATTTTCATCGAGCAAATCTATGCAAAAATGTCTTGTGTTCTCTGAGCTGAGTTGTTTAATCATGGAGCTTTCATCGTCTTTCTAGATAACATCTTCAGTACTAACTCCAGTATGAAGTGAGCTGTCAATATCTCTCCGTCAGTGAGTGATTTAGTAGCTTGCCCTGATGAACTGGTTTATGATTGCTTGTCTCCTTTGATTGCTGTGTCATTGACTACATAGATTTTCCTGTTGGCTATTCCCCTCACTGACTTCTCACCTTTCTGTCGTTTATCATTTTTCTCATTGGGTCTGTATCTATACATCCGGATAGTGGTGACCTCATTGAAGATCCAGTCAACAACAAATTCCCTCAAAACACTATTATGCAGACCAAAGGATGCAACAACCGAAGAAGACAAACCAAACATTATTTACAAAACCAACTACAATAACTGTAGTCAACACCACATTGGACAAAACGGTCGCCCTCTTCGCCTTCGTCTACATGAACACCAATTGGCTATTAAACGTCACGACATTTCATCACTCATTTCAATGCATGTGGATAACAACTATGGACATGAATTCGATTTTGACAGTGTAGAAATTTTGGACAGAGGAAACAAGGAAAATATCAGAGAATTCCTAGAGGTTGGGCATTCAGGTCAGTCAGTCAGCAATCAATAGATGTATAGACATAGACCAGATCTATAAACCAATGAGAAAAATGATAAATGACAGAAAGGTGAGAAGTCAGTGAGGGGAATAGCCAACAGGAAAATCTATGTAGTCAATGACACAGCAATCAAAGGAGACAAGCAATCATAAACCAGTTCATCAGGGCAAGCTACTAAATCACTCACTGACGGAGAGATATTGACAGCTCACTTCATACTGGAGTTAGTACTGAAGATGTTATCTAGAAAGACGATGAAAGCTCCATGATTAAACAACTCAGCTCATAGAACACAATACAACCAAGACCATCCACCTGAGCTACAAATATTCTCCACCATATGAATAACTGTATTGAACTATACTTACAATCAAGTAAGGAAATAGCAGGAATAAATTCCAATAAGTGAATCCTCATTATGCAATTCCTCTTACTTTCCTTTCTAGTGATAAAGCACTTCATAACTAGGTATCCACACTATGATCTATATGATTGCGTTCACTTACTGATCATGAGCAAATATTGTGACATAAAATGAATTCCGATTAGTTTACGTAGTTTTCATCAGCTGCTCACATCTATTATTATCATATTTTTACTATCTGTTCTTTGGGTTCCTAGTGGAACATAGGCCTTCAGTAGCACGTCACCATATCACCCTCTTCTCTGCAGTCTTTTCAACTTGGCTCCATGACTGCTCGTAAGCTTTCATTTCTTCCTCACATGATCTCCTCCATGTCACTCTCGGACGCCCAACTCCTCTTTTCCCACTTGTGTTCCACTGGAGGGCCTATCCTGGTCTAGCTCGTGATGTCCGCAAGCGGTCTTCTTAATGTATCCCCCAAAGCTCATATCTATTGTTAATTACTTTAATAATCACTGTGATAAAACCTAACACGCTTCTTCCCATAAAGTATTTCAGAGTGTTGGATCATATTTTGAAGACCAGATAAGACAAAATTGGAGTTCGACAACAGAAGAAGGATTTCAAACAGTTATTTCCATTTATGAACTTTGACAAAGCAATAAGGAGATGAAATTTGTTTGAATCGTGTAATGTATTTGCATAACACATTTCCAACAGTTTGATAACACACGTATTGGAATACAGGTCAGTTAAACGATGTATTTACAGAAAGCCTACATGAATAGGACAGTATTTAAATTGTCATACTTTCTGTCCGGTGTAATGCAAAGAAGGCTTACTTAAGTGTTAATTTGATTGAACTCAATGAATGTTCACAACTGGTACGTGGAAGAGGAGACGAGATTATTGACGGAGACATTGATTAAGGGCAAATACTCAACAAAGTTTATAAGTTGGCACAAAGTGTACAGAACATTTAGAAATACTGTTCACTTTGTCCTGAAGAAAAGTGTTTTCGTCAAGCTAACATACACTGGTGATGCGAATAGCTTGATAGTCGCACAGAGAATTAACTCTCCCATCAATAAGACATACTATGCTATTAGACTTCAGATAACTGAAAATTCTAAACGTATATGCCCTTCGAAGCCATTGAAATAGGTGTAAGCTGAAGTTACACCCCATTGAAAATAAGGTCGACAAAACAAATTCCAAAGTACTATCGCCTGATTCAATTGATGCTGGAAAAAAACCGTCTGATCTCCCCAATAGCTGAACATATTGAAATGTAGCATAAAATGGGAGTACAAACATTAATTAGGCTCATCCATAAGACATGATGGGGACATATATTTGTTGAGGCGTTGATCTTTGGAAGGTTTAAGCCACTTTAATGAGTTCAAAAACAGTTTGTCATCACACTAAAACCTCCCTTTGTAAATTCGGCTTTGATTTCAAAGTTAGTAGAGCATCGGACCGGAAATATAGTGGTCGCTGGTTCAAATCCGGCCGCGATCCAAATTTTCCCTTGACTTTCAATCATCACCAAGTATTAACTTGTTGTTATTCCCTTACTTATTTTCATTGCTATTTTGACCTTTAATATAGTTTTCTCATCTGACCAATGACTATTCTGCTACCACATAAACGCCAATGACAGATATATGTGAGATCAGACTGTTTAAAATATTTTGCAAAAATACATCACACGATTCAAACAAGACAATATGTGGTTACAGCGAAGAAGTCATTTACTGAGCTGTATATTCGTCAATATATGTCACAGTGAAAAGAACGTTCCAGAATTATTTCCGGTTAGAGGGCAAGTTATATTCAATAACTGAAGGAAGTTACACAATTGGGTTTAGAGAGGGAGAGTAAACAAGGGATTATGAAATTAAATGTCATTATGCAATACATGATAAATGTATGGCAAAGTAGGAAAATGAACGAAGGGTTACGAAAATAAAATTGAAACTATGTAATACCGGATAAACCTATAACAGAGTAGGGAAATAAACAAGGGATTATGGAAATACATGTGTAACTATAACTACCTAATACAAAATGAATATATGACAGTCAAGGCTTTATGATGACCATGACAAAGACAGAGGTTAGGCGTACCTTTCTCGGACACAACGTTGATTTCAACTTCTGAATGGCTAGTGTTTCAGCTATAGACAAATGCCTTGATCTTACTCCCCACAAGTGGTTTAGTCAAACCCTGCGGGGGATTTTGAATGAGGTCTCAAAAGGAGATAAGTGGCCTGAGTTCACGAGGTGTTGTGTTATTGAACTGAAGATACATTTCCGTTCTCCCTTTGCCAACCAGGTTGGGTAGTGTATGCGGGCACGTTTTACAAGCGGAAGTATAGTATGGCCGATGTACTCAGATCCACAAACGAAAATAAACGTAAGCACACCATTGAAATAATTCCAATGTTTTGCACAGATGTCTAGGTCATTGTTGTTCAGAGAAGCAATCAAATCAACATTATCGTGGATATGAGTTCAGAATGGTTTAGTTCATCTCATTGTTCAATATTGTCTGGATGATCTTTTTTTTAACATGATGCGTAAGCATGTAAGCCATTTTGTGTGAGTGTGTATGTATGTATGTGTTTCAGACATGAGATCCGTGAGATTATACAGGTCAATAGAATCATGTAGTTAACTTACTAAGAACTTGTACTTTTCGTAAGAAAAACAACTGACTAATAACCTCGCCTGGTTAACTAGTTCACTAGTTATTAGCCAGTCCTAAGCCCGGGTGAACAGGGAAGGTTGGGCATAGGGCTAGCAACCCTACCCCAGAAAACAAATATAACCGCTAAACAAACTTCAAACCACAAACAAAATATTAAAAATAGTAACAAAATTATTCCTCGCTGGAATCGAAGAGACAAAATGACGCCAGTTGGTGAAAGCCTGCCTTCGGGAAGCCAATCGGCCAATGTGTCTTCTCTCCCTAGATGAAAGCGAAAGTAAACATGGGGACATGGAATGTCCGCACGATGTTTGAGCCCAGCAAGGCAGCCCAGATTGCAAACGAGATGAAGAGGTATCACACTGAAGTGCTTGGAATTTGCGAAAGCAGATGGAGTGGAAGTGGACTTTCCAAACTGTCAACTGGAGAGGAGTCAATAATCTACTCCGATACTGTCACCCAGACGACAACCACGAACACTGAGTTTTGGAGTGGCTATCATGATATCCCCAACAGCATCGAAGGCCCTCATGCAGTGTGAACCAATCTCCTCCAGCATAAGGATCATGACAGCAAGGTTGAACTCAAAAGGAAGGAAGGTCACAATCATACAATGTTACTCTGAGCACCTACAAATAATGCAGAGCAAGAGAAGAAGGAGGAATTCTACAGACAACTTCAATCAAAACTGGACAAGACACCACTCAAGTTGGCGATATCAAAATGCTAATGGGTGAGGTGACATGAATGCCAAACTGGGAGGGAGCAACACAGGAAGAGAACTAACCATGGGTCGAGAAGCACTCGGTGAGGTGATGAACGAGAATGGAGAATTGTTTGCAGACTCCTGTACATCCAACGATTTGGTGATTGGAGTCAAGCAGTGTGTTCAAGCACAAGGATATCCACAGAGCGAGTGACATGGATTTCACCATTCACCAGGACACACTAAAAATCAAATCGACATTATCTCAATCTCAAGAAAATGGAGACGCAGTCTACTTGACACAAGGTCAAGAAGAGGAGCAGATGTAGGTTGACACCACTCACACCACTATCTAGTTCAAAGAACCTTCCAAATCAAGTTAAAAGCCTTCAAGGAAGCTGGTGATAGACCTCAGTTCAAGTACAACACTCGAAAACTGAAGGATGAAACTACAAAGGAAGTCTTCACGGCAGCCAACCATCAAGACAAAATGGGAGATATCGAGAAACATCCCTGAAGAAACCTGTGTGGAAGAACACTGGAAGTCTTTGAAAGAGATGTGGAAAAAAACATGCACAGCCGTATTAGGAAGGAAGAAGAAAGAAGACAGGAGGAGGAATGGATCTCGACGGATACCTGGAAGCTGATAGAGGAGAGGAGGATGGTGAAGCAGAAGATAAACCAGTGCAGTGCAAGGATGCTCAACAACAAGAGGAACTGAGTACAATGTATAAAACACAACACTGGACAAGTAAGTGAAGAAGAGTGTGCGGAAAAACAAAAGACACTTCTACGAAACACTGGCAAGTGAAGCAGAACAGGCTGCAGGTAGGAGAGATAGAGACCTGACAACATTGTTTCAAATAACCAGCTTGCTATCTGGGGGGGAGAGATCAACAGAGACAAGACCAATAAAAGATGATGACGGAAGTTTAATTACCAAAGAAGAGAAACAAGGAAACAATGGGTTGACCACTTCAAGAAGCTCTTGAATGGACCACCACCTGCACTTCGTCCAAAAATACCACCTACAGCCCAGTCACAGAACTACAAGTGAACATAAATCCTCCAACAAAAAAGGAAGTCCTGAGCGCCATAAAGTTACTGAAGTGCGGGAAAGCAGCAGGACTAGACGGGATACCGCCAGAAGCACTGAGAACAGACGCAGAGACAACAGCGGACATGCTCACACCACTATTGCAGAAGGTGTGGAAGGAAGGGAAGGTACTTGGTCATTAGTTGGAAGAAGGGTTACCTTGTCAAACTCCCGAAGAAGGGAGACCTCAGTGCCTGCAAGAACTGACGCGGAATCACTCTCCTGTCCACCAAGAGCAAACAAAATATTATGCCGCATCACCCTGGAGAGACTAAAGGATACACTTTATTCAAAACTACGACCGGAACAGGCTGGCTGGCTAGATTCAGGAAATACGAATCATGTGCCGACGAAATTGCAACGCCACACCACGCAACATCATAGAACAGAGTGTAGAATGGCAGTCCAGTTAACTTTCTCAACTTCATCGACTTTGAGAAGGCCTTTGACAGCGTCCACCGAGAGGTAATTTAGAAACTGCTTCAATACTACGGAATACCGCAAACCTTTATCCGCCTCATTCAACAACTATATGAAGATGCCACATGCCAAGTAATTGACAACGGGAAGCTCAGTGATGCTTTTGAAGTGAAGACAGGAGTGAAACAAGGTTGACTACTATCCCCCATGATATTCCTGATTGTAGTGGACTGGACCGGATCATGCAGCAAGCAGTGGGGAGCTGTGAGAAGAGGGGGATACACTGGACTGCGGAAAAGAACCTAGAATATCTGGATTTCGCCAGTGATGACTTGTGTCTGATGTCACACAAACTTGAAGACCTAAAGGTGAAAACTAACAAGTTGATAGAAGAGGCAGCGAAGACGGGACCTCCTTCAGGTGAATATAGAGAAGACAGAGGTGATGAAGATACCGCAACACCAACAACACCAACAACAACAAACTCCAATCACCATCAATGGGAGAAACTTAAAGGAAGTAACCTCCTTCACCTATCTAGGCAGCACTGTTTCAACTACAGGCGGCGGTGGCACAGACGAGGATGTCAAAGCCAGTCAGGATCGGAAAAGCAAGACAGGCGTTCATTAGCCTGAAACCAGTGTAGAGATCTTCTGCACTACACTCAGCATGTGGAACAACATCCGGATTTTCAACACCAACACCAACGTCAAGTCAGTGCTCCTATATGGTTCAGAGACTTGGCGCGTCACGAAAGGGATTTCCAACAAACTACAGACATTCATCAACAACTGCCCCTACGCTGGGTCACTGCTGAAGATCAGATGGATTGCCAGAAAGAATAAGCAACAAGGAACTCTGGGAACGAACCAACCAAGAACCTATCACCCAACAAATATGCAGAAGGAAGTGGAGGTGGATTAGGCTTACACTGAGAAGGCCGACTGGGGACATCACACGTCAGGCCAGTGCCTCGAGTGGAACCCCGATGGGAAGCGATCAGTTGGGCGTCGGTGCCGAGGGTGACATGGAGGAGATGGTGGGAGGAAGAAATGAGAGTTTGTGGGCTGTTGTGGAGCCAGGTTCAAAAGATTTCAGAGGACAGAGTTCACTGGAGATGTGCTGCTGAAGCCCTATGTTCGATTAGGAACCCAAGGGACTAATAATAATAATAATAATAATAATAATAATAATAATAATAATCATGTTTACAAAAAACATAATTCATATAAGATTCGACGATTAAATGAACAACGCCATTCAACCCTCATAAAAATATGGATACTGGTTGATGATTCAACTAGAAATGAGAATCTGAGTGGCTGCAAGATTTAAACAAGTGGCATACGGTTACCGACCACGTGCTCTACGAAGTGTTCTATGAGATCGAGTTGATAACCACGCTTTCATTTCACGATGTGCTATATGATGCTACTTGCCAAGTGATTGACAATGCAAAGTTCAATGACGCCTCTGAAGTGGAAACAGGAAGGAGTAAGACAATGATGCCACTTACTATCAACCACTTCTAAAGTAGCCTAAAACCCTAGTCGGCAAGTCTGCATTTCGTGGTATAAAATATCCGTTTACATGCATTCATTAAATGGATGAAAATCTGAAGATAAGAAAAGAGTATAAATAATGATGCACAACAACCTGGTATGAGTTATTTGAAAATGAATACCTTCCTATCAGATGCAATAGTCTGTACTTTATTTCCACACGCATACTTGTCTACACAACAAGGTAAGCGTGAGTACACAGAGGTAGGTATTTCTGACCTGTTCCCTACGGAATGATACTTCTCAATCATTATCATGATCTGTAAAGATACATATCAATTGTAATGTGGACCAATCGAAATGATTTCACACAGGAAAGTAAAAATGGCTCTTTTTATTGCAATTTCAGAGATTTGTCAATACCGAGTGGATAGAGGGCCGTGTTTGGCACTGGTTTCCCGATACTTCTGCAACCAAGAATCAAAAAGATGTGAGCACTTTCACTCTGAAGGGTGTCTAGGCAATAAAAATAAATTTCAGACAATTGAACAATGCCAGAACACCTGTTACACAAGGTAATTGCACTTAAGTATTGAAGAGTTTCTTATTTGTTGTCTATCATCATTGTTTATCGAATGGTTTCGTAGATAGGAATTTCATGAGCGATGACAGACGTATTACCATTCTCTGTAGGCTGACACTTCGAAACGATGTGTCACAATAACCTTCACTCAGTCTCTGCCATACTTCATACTCAGTGGCCAATTTTCATTGTACAAATTTGAGTCAACTATTTGAAAGATTCTACAAAACTACTTAGGTCGCCACAGTGACCTATCATTCAGTTTCGTCGACATTCAACCCCTCACTGGATTGACACCTGGATTTAGAGATAGGAAATTGGATGAAGCAATTTGAAAACAAGAAGAATATAACGGATACTACAGAATGGTGATGATCAAATTAGTGTCTGTCTACAGCTGAAAATTCCTTTATCATCTTCCTCCTTTCTAATGGCTCATTCAACAACAACTCATACACATTACACTTCATTGTGACAGTTCATGTATGAGAACCGACACAGTCGAATGTGCTCATCTCACTGTAGTCTGTTTGATGTAGCGTGAAGACGACTGATTATCGAAAGTCTTATAGGTGCTGTATTTTCTTGTGAATGTATGATGAATTTGTGAAGTATGGAAATTTCCAGCGATTGTTGTAGGGTTGATATTCCATCGCCACGATCCCCACTACCATGCTTCACTGCCTAGACTAAAGTCAACTTATAAATGACTGAGATCATGTATGATGAATATGAAGTTCAGGATGACTTTCAAGACTGATGAAGATGAACTCGGAGGCGATTGGAAATGTGGAAGCACCGGACACCTGTTTTATTCTACATTGAGGAGTCAAAATACAGACAGAGAAACGGTTGTCCAGTGCTCTGAAATTTCCAATGACTTGCTACCTAGAATCACTTCATGATGAATATCACTTTGACACTCATAGATTCTCCACAGACCCGATGATTCACTTGGTATCTGTGAGGAAATTTGACCATTTATTACTGAGAAATAAAAATGCTTTCACACACCTTCAATGTTTTCTTCAAATTTACAAGGCGAAAGTACTGATAAAAGTATGTGATCAGTGAGGAGAATTGTTTTTCTAATTTACAAAATTACTCAGTTTCACATGTTCATTTCGAAAATACCTGACTGACTTCACGCAAATGTGAAGAATTCTACTACAGTGATTGCCTGGGTAATGGGAATAATTTCCACACGACAGAAGACTGTGAAAATCAGTGTGAAACAATGTAAGTTCTCTCCTATTATATGGTGTTTCCTCCACATCAGATAATCTATGTCCTTCATTTTGATTATTCATGGGTTCATTACAACTGTTTATTTCTGTTTACA